CTCGAACATTTGAGCCAGTAAATGTAATTAATACTGTTCAATTAAAACTGAGCATTTACTCAAATAAGTAGTATCCATAAAAAATAACATATAAACAGAATATATATATATATATATATATATATATATATATATATATATATATATATATATATAGGGTGTCCCAGAAATTGGGCACCAACTTTGTTGCAGTGGAAGAGTAAACAAAGGTATGAAACATCAGGAGAGTGAAAGACAGTTTGATGAAGAGAATTGTTGCCTGTTTTATTGCAAGGGGTGCACAATTTGAGCATCTATTCTGATTATGATCAATAAAGGCGTTTTTTATGTTTTTTTATGAAAACCTGGATGGTGTGTGACTTTTGGGATATATATATATATATATATATATATATATATAAGAGAGAGAGAGATTTGTGTGTGTAATGCCCACTAAGGAGTGCTTAAAGTTCTCAATTCAACCCACTTCATGAAATCTAACCAAACGTCAGATCTTTTTAGGGAAGAACATCTTGGTTGGGCTGAAGATTTTTCATCATGTCATTATGAATCAATAGATCATTTTTATTTTTATCCTTGCAAGTAAATAAAAAAAAAAAAAAATCACGTACACAATTTCTGTCATCAATCCCATGAAAGAAAAAAAATTCTCATTCTATAATAAGTCATATTCTGTCTATTTTCTATAAATTTGAGTAGTCATTAATATTCCAGTCATAATAAAAAGTAAAAGTAAAGAATGAAGGATGCTAAAAGATGTAATAAATTACCAAATAAATACAAGTGTGTAAATGTTAATGTTATTGTTGATTTTTTAATATCTTATTTGTTTATATATCAGTTAGTCAGTCATGTGCGATGTGTGATACATGCTTAGGTGATCATCTGTCTTTACATACATAACTGATGAGGCTGACCCCCCACCCCGAGTAGGTTGCCATTTCTTTCTGCGGTCGACCAGTTGCCATCCAAGGCTATGGAACCCGGTCTGTCCTACTATTAACTCATAGTTGGGGGGAGAAGAAGAGGATTCATACCTTTCCCAAGGGTATTAGCACATAAGTGGATTTAATGGATTTGACTGGAATTCAAACTTGGCTCTCCGATTCCTCAATCCAAGATTATTTATTATTTTAATTTGATAAATTATTTGTATATGTATTTATTTTAAATAGAAGGTTTCAAGTTAATTGTTTTCTTTTAATTTTTAAAAATCTTTAAAATGGTCATGAATGTAGAAGTATTTCTTTTAAGAAAGGAGATATTTGAAAATGTCCTAGGCATAAGTTATCAATTTGGGAAGAATCGATAACATCCACCATAGTTTACCTTTACTTACACAGCTTTAAGAATATTTTAGGAGGTTTTTAAATTTAAAAATTTTGAAAACTTAACAATATTTTTTTTTTCTTTTATAATTCTGTCGTAAAATAAAATCCTTCCATTTACCTTGATAAAGTACCTCAGAGGACAAAACATGTCGGTAAAGAAGATCCTTTCCTTTTTGTCCTTATTCATACTATCATTTTACAGATACATTTTATTTGTATCTGTATTTTTATATATACATGTATATAAATTTTACGGGAAAATGAGAAAGTGGAAATAGTTTATGACTTCATCAAACTAAAGTGATATTTATTTTGATACAACTACAAATGTGAATTTTAATTTTAAATTAAAATTTTCTTTTTAAAATGTGTAGTCACATCACACAAAAACCTTTTCCACTTTGTGTTTTCCTTAAAATTGCTCTTGATAGATTATATATATATATATTATCCGTCAACACAACAATAAAAAAAAAACTATTTCTACACATGAGTACTTGGCGCAATTTTCAGTTGACAATTATAAATAAAATAACGTTTTTTAAATTCTCCTAGTTTTTAAGGACATTTTGTTTGTTGTTAATAGTTACTTTGTTTTCAATAAATCCATTTCGTTTTTACCTTGAAAAAGTTCACATTGGTCAAAACACGTTGACTAATAGTTTTTCTATTGTCTCTTACCTTTATACATATTGTCTTTTTCTACATGGTATCTCTGAGAAAAATATATATATATATATATATATATATATATATATATATATATATATATATATATATATACACACATATATTGTATAGGGACAGCAGATAATTATTCAAATATATATTGTTAAACATAACAAACAACAAATGTCTATTATGCTTTATCATGAGCCTTTCCAAGCAACATCATAGAATCACATTACAAATTTACGACCTGTGTCTGCTATTTTGCAAACGTTATTGTCATATAGCAAACTTCTATGTAAACAAAACGGGATGTCATTTTTGGTGGTGAACATCTCCATTGTAATGTCCATATAATCACTGATGATGACTCATGTGAGACGAAAGCTTAGATCGATGACCAATGTAATAAAGAAATATCCAAATGTTGGACATTTTTTTCCTTTAAACTATTGAAACTAAAGTCATTATACAATGCTTGGAAAGGCTCATGATAAAGCATAACAGACATTTTTTGTTATATTTAACAATATCTGTGTGAATATATATATATATATATATATATATATATATATATAGAGGATTAATACAAATATAAAATTTGTCACTTAGCTGATTGATGTTAGATTCCGCACCTCAACAGTTTCTGAGATTAACCTTTTTGTAATCATTCAGTTCACTCATCAGGAGGTATCAGCAATTGTCTGTTGATTTTCTCGTTTTTGTTATTTTCATATTAAGTTAAAAAATAATTTATGCACTTTTTATTTGTTTTACGTTGAATTTTTCTTCTTTGTGTGCACGTATGTGCACAGGTAGAATGTTGTGGTTTTTTAATACTTTTTTAGATTTTCTTGTCTCCTACTTTCTCACTATCCCTTTTCTTACTCTCTCCCTCCCACTCTCCTGTCACTCATACAACTTGATTTTCCATCCTTAGTAAAATCTGATATTCCATTGTTAAGAGGAGTTATTACTCAATGCCAACAAGCAAACATGTCTCATTAGTTAGGAAGGGAGATCAAGCTGCAAATACATTCATCTTATTTTGTGTTATCTCTTAATGATTTAAAGAGCAGAATTATTTCTGACACATGACAGTAAAGCTAAATGTAAAAAAAAAAAAAAAAATCTCAAACTATTTATGCAGAAAATATAAGTAATGCAATCCCAAAATAAACATTTCTTACACTTTTTTTTTTCTTTTTTTATGGTACAGGTACATTAATATGATACTGAACTTTTAGTATAATGGTAATATTAGTGGTTTCCTTATAAGGAAACATTCACCATTCACTGACTGAACAGCCAGTGCTACTAGAGTTATACTTTTCTCTACTGCTTGGCCATTGGATTGGCAGCAAAGTGTAGTATTCATTCTCATCTCTAATGTTGATTTTAATTTTAGCTGTTTCTTTATAAAGAAACTTTTGGCAGTAAACAAGCAGCCAGCGCTATTATTGGTTGAAATTTATAAAATCTTTCTCATAAAACAATCTTTCAGGAAAGCAGGTTTCTCAAGTCCATTAACTGTTATTGCTCTTTACAGTATTGATGGCGGTTTCCTTCCTAACCTTTTGTTTGAAATAGTGCAGAGTGTCAACATATTGATTATGCCATTATTTTCTATTTGAGATACATATGCGATTGATTTTAGTTGTTGCAAGTCCTCAAGTGATGCAGTTTCTGTTACCTGATACTCATTGTTTCTTTGTGATTCTGTAGTACCAGTCCATAAGATTTGAAGAAAGATGGTCCTTGCTAAGACCTATATTTGCTCAAAGCTATTTTTAATCATTGATCTGAGAAAGTGGTCATATATAGCCAACAGTTCAGACATTTCTGAACTAGTTTGACACCATGCAAGCATCTATATCATATAAAAGTCTCAATCTGATGAGGTTATTTGAGAACATGACTTTAGTTTTTTTTTAAGGTGATTGTTTTGGTTTTGTAGCTACCTCCAGTGCAGACTATTCTATGTTTAATTTCCTCATCTCATATTGTTTCTAACAGATAAAGCTTTTTTCCAAGAAAACTTATTGTCAGAAGTAGTTTAACAACACATTGATGAAACTAGGAGCTTAGTTTTTGCTCTTTTTATAAGTTACTCTATATTATATTGAATTTCAGTTTTCCTATTTTTCAAAAAAGAGGGTTGGCTTATATTGCAAATATCAGCATAAACCAAAAAGATTTAAGTAAAAACTTTTGAGGTTGACTTGTTGTAGCATACCTACGGATGATAATGGGTATGTCTCCATTCACATAAATACAGTAGTAAATACTGTATGTTGGCCTGCAGTTGGAGATTCATTGTGGAATTCACTCGACTCACTTCTAGCAGTTGACTACTACTGGCAAATCTTATACGTGTTGTTCTTGTCCTAAGTATTATCATTCATCACCAGCCTTTCAGTAACCTTCCCTAGGTTACAACACTTATATTTAAGACTAGCTTAAAAGCTGCAGTCTGTGCAAACTTTTAAGCTAGCTTCTCCAGAAGGCTAATTGAGCCTCCAGCCTCTGGTTCAGCTTAGAAAACAGCAACGATAATTTTGAAGAAATAACTCAATTCCTCAGTTCAAAGTTTTGGAGATATTTTAAACTGAATTTAAAACCAAAATTTTTAAATTCACATAGTTTTTTGTTACTTTAGACTCAATATAAAATAAAAGCTCTTAAAATCACTAATTTTTTACCATTATTTTAAAATTTGAATTTTAACCATTCCCTCCAAACCTGGACACAAATCCCAATGCCAGATGTTCAAAGGCCAGAAGAAGGGCAGATTTTCAATCCCAGAATCATCCAGATTCCAAAAGAGATATATGTCTATGTAGAGCAAGTGTTGCCTTCTTTGAGGGGTTTCAGAGACACGGATGGACAGACAGAATTTGCCGTTTATTTATCTAGGTAGATAGATGATTAACTCAAATACCACTGTACTAACTACTTTTCTTTAAGCTCATTATAAGTTAGTTTGTAAGATCAAGCTTCTGGCTATATCATACTGAAACACCAGTTCCCATATGATCACTGAAGTTAAGCAACGTCAAGCCTGGTCAGTACCTAGATAGGTGGCCACTTGAGAATGCCAGGTGCTGTAATCTTGAATGTGTGGGCAATGTAATAGACAATGAATTGGAACTGTTAATTGGAGAGCTGAGTTTCAACTCCAGTTGGATTTATTATATTTACTTATGTTTAAATACCCTTGAGAAAGGTATGAATTCACCCCCCCCCAGCTATGAGTTAATTAGTAAGACTTGTATCAGCAAATTATTGTAATCTCAAAAAAATTCTTAGAATCTAAAAATATTTTCTGGCTTTAAATAAACTGCAATGGTTGATAAATCATAAAAACAGATCAAGTAACAAAAACTTGAAATACATTTTAGACATCTTACATTCTCTTGACTAAAATCAATTTAACCTTTCTACAAATAAAGCATATATATATATATATATATATATATATATATATATATATATATATATGTGTGTGTGTGTGTGTGTGTGTGTGTATTTTGTATAATTGTATATATCAACAGTATTTAGAAAAATGTGACAGACTTGAAAGGTATTTTTTGTTATGCGTGATCCAATGAAATCCTAATGGATGAAAGGTGTCACAAAAAAAACTTGAGTTTATCACATATATATATTTATTTTCTACTACACCAAATGTTATTTTATGGATACCCATGTTTGAGTAAATGCCTTTTATTAATTCTTTTTCCTCTCTCCAGTGTGAATTATATCTACCAGTCTGCATAGCCAATAGACTTAATAAAGAAATATGCCCTCCAACAGTGTTTGAACCAGCATCCCCCTTTGTAAGAGAAACCATCATCTGATCTGGCTTGCTTTAGACCACTCAATCACAGAAAGCATCACAGTCGAGCAAGGTTCAATTACCTGTTTTGAAGAACACACATCCTCTCGTTCAGATCTGTTCATTTTATAGTATATGAAACATAAACTAAGAAATTTCTAAGGGATTTTTTTTTTAGCTGACATTATTGTGAACGCAATAATGTGTAGTCTTGAGCCAAGGTTATAAATACAAGAAAAGTTTACATTGTCTAACTTGGGGAAAACATATGACAAAGTGGAAAGGGTTTTTGTGTGACATGTTTCATCCCTTCAGACTTCAAACTAAATTTATTATGTTGATGTGACTAGATGTGTACAAATGAGGGATGCTGGAAATTTTTAATTAAATTTTTTTTTTTTAAATATAATTGAGCCAATTTCATTTAGATTCTTTTTCTTCACATCACTTTTTTTAGTGTGTATGTAATAATAGAAGATCTGCCAGAAATGGTAAATTATTGTAAGAGCCAGGACACAAATTTACTGTGATCAAGGCACTCTCTAAACATTTCCGTTTTAGGGAATTGTTTTCTCCTTTGATCAGAGTAGCAGTTTTTATGTAAAAATTAGAGAGAGACTTTCTTATATAAAAAAAAAATGTTTGGAAAACAAATAAGAAATGGTAGCTAACTGAACAACCAGAGCTCATTCTCAGCCAAGAGAGCTACAGTTTATCCCATTGTCAGCAATGTGGATGATTCAATAGTTGTACATAAAGATACTACCCAAATAACAGCAAACCAAAAGAAATACTGGCCCACTTTACACTTGTCCAACAGTTTAATGTATGTTACTTCCTTCAATTATTTCACACTCCCACAAGGTTTACTATTTATTATTTAGACCACATCTCAGAGAAAGTAATAGGAGCCGCTTATGACTCTAGATATAGTCTATCATAATAAATTTTTCTACCACTCAACTTTGAATAGGACTTACAGATTGCATGCATGAAGGAAACTGTAAAGCACATCAAGTGTAACGTCATAGAAACAAAAGCAATTCAAAAAATAAGTTCAAATAATCCAAACAACTCTGAGACTGCACAATCAATGATTGTTTCTAATTGAAATAACACTAGTTGCTCTATGATATGAGTGCATACTAACTTGCCTCAAATAACCTTGCAGTTGTTATAGAAGCTCAGATTCTACCATTAAACTATGATCATGAATATACTACACTTTCTGTGGTGATAAAACTGACTGTTATGACATTTCTAGAATCTAGACAGGCAAGAGCATTTTTACTTAATTTCATACTTTGATCACCCCTGAAAAGTTTCGCTAATACACCACAGAAAGCAGAATTGTAATGTTTGTCATATGCAATAATAGATTGAAACAGATAAAAGCTTTTAGGTCATCATTGCAGTATTTTAAAAGTTGGAACATTGCTTAAGATGTGTCAGCTTCTTCAGCATCAAGCTGTCACTTTAAACAAAAAAATTTCTGTTTTAAAAAAAAAATAGTCATTCATTTAAAGAATTTTTCACGCAAAAGAAATTATAGACACATTAACCCATTTTCCCCCCGGCATAGACATATATATGTTTTTACTAAAATGATCTTTTTCAGACACAGACGAATAAATACATCCCTAACATAACATTCAAAAACCAACTACAGATGTGTTTATATGTTGATCTTAATTCTTTTTATGCTTTTCTGGGCTTGAAATGAGTCAAATTGTTAACTCATTTGTCTGGTAGAGGTATTAGCCACTGCTCAGGTACTTCAAGCTGCCTCAGTTTCTTAGTTACTATATTAAAAACAAATAAAAAAAACTTGTCTGAAAATTAAATGTCTTTCCAAAAAATAATTGGCGAAGAAGAGGTTAAAAGCTTTTTCCTTAATTTGATATCAGTTGGAGAAAAGAGGCTTATGTTGAATGTTAAGTTCCCATACAATCACTGAAGTTAAGCAACATCAAGCCTAGTCAATACCTAGATGGTTAACTACTTGGGAATACCTGGTGCTGTAAGCTTGGATGTGCAGATGGTGTAATGGATAATGGCTTGGAATCGTTAACCGAAGAGCCAAGTTCCAATTGTGTCAGTTATATTCAATTACACGCAAATACACTTAGGAAAAGTATGAATCCACTTCTCCCCGCAGCTATGGGTTAATTAGTAAGACTTGTATCACTAAATCATTATCATCTTAAAAAGATAAATCTATATATAAAATTCTATGACTTCTGTTAATCTGTCTGTCTGTCACATACTCTAAAAGAGCCATACATTGACTGACTGACACCAAATTTTGAGGAGAAGCACAAATAGGTAAACAGGTACAATGTACAGTTGATTTTACTAGGGTGTGTAAAAACCATGAACTAAGTTTTTTGTTAAAATATTTTCCCAAACAAATCAGCTTATTCAAATTTCATTGACTGGTTTGCAAAATTGAATGAAACGTAGAGTTTGTATATCTTGACAAAATATGTTAGCGATAATTTCAATAATACTAAATATAGTAACACACATCAGCATGTTGCAAAAAAATTCTAGTAATTAAAACTGCATACAAAATATTTAGATTTCGGCATTAAATAATCCATAGAGGTTGATATGCCATGAAACAAAACCAAACAACCAATTATTGCTTGCAAAGACATGTTTTGATGATTTGGCAGTGCAGCAATCCATTGGGTAAGTAGGCATGGTGTAATAAAATTGCCAATTGATTCAGCTTAAGCAAAATTATTTTTTAAACATTTTTCCTGTACTGGAGTTAACTTCCTTGCACGAGCAATGCTGGGTGGCAGTGTTTTCATTATAAAAACAGCAGAATATTCCATATCGATATCGATACAAAGTGAGGAGGAGGAGGAAAGATTTTTTTTTTTTTTAATGTGCCATGTCCTTTCAGGATGTATAGGCTTCATAAAAAGACCAGAATACAACAATTGTAAAAAGATTCACATTTTAAAGACATAGCATTGATTATATTAATTCTAATCCGAATACCAAAGTTTAGTATTATTTTGATTAACTCTTGATGTTTTTCAAATTGAAGCCCAGCATCCCTTGAGCCCAATCTATCTTGGAAATCCATTGATTGATAATTGTAATTTTTGATAATAATTGTAATTGTGTAGCATATGATTCACCATTTTTAGTAGAGAAAAAAAAAATGTTTAGTCTATTTCTGTATGTGCCTTATACAGGGTGTTCCTAAAGTCTGGACACAGGAAATATAAACTATATTTCTTTTTATCTTCACTGTTTAAACATGCTTTTATCAAAAGAAGAAAGAACTGACTTCTTTTTCTTGGGTATGCTAAAGGAGAAGGTGTACTCAATGAAAATCACACATGCAACACTTGCTTGAATGCATGTGCTAAAATTGACAGCAATGTGGAGTTACTGCATCGAGTTCATGTGAATCTTGCAAAGCACATCAATCTTTGCATCACAAATGAGGGAAATCATATTGAAGATGTTATTTGCTAATATTCCAATTCAATAAAATTTTGTTGAAAACTTCATTTCTTGAAAATATGCATTTTTGCCTATGTGTCCAGATTTTAAGGACACCCTATATATATGTTGGTGGGTACTGAATTTTTGAAGAACATGTTCTTTTATGTCCTCAAGCACAGATGTTGGGAATTCCAAAATTAATCCCTTCTTTAATTTACACTCACATCTAGAGATATCTCATCTTAGAGCATTGGTTTGTGAATTTGGTGACATAGCAATTGTAAGTTTAATCCTTGGACTGGGCAATGTGTACTTGAACTCAGGGGAAACGGGATGAGTCTAGTCTACTGAACAGTAGCAGAGCTTTATCTTCTGAGCAGTACTAAAAATAAGCACTATAGAATTGATATACAACTGGCAAAGGCCAGAAGACATAACAGCCAAAATGTTGTGATAACAACAATAAAGATGAGGACAATATTTCAAATATAAATAATGATAACTCATCCTAGAAATTCAGAAATTTTTTTTTTTTAATTGGATTCATGTAAGGCAGTAAAGCCACTAAGACTCAAGAGTGTGAAAGAATTAAAAAACAGAAATATTATTAAAGAGAAAGAACAATATAAGAATAATCAGGAAGACACTAGATAACAATTGACATTGTATTTAAATTTTTGAGGATTAATGTTGGCTGGAAAGCATGGAGCTAGAAGATTCTTCTATAAGTGAGAAGTGCATGGGAAGAAATTGTTAGCATAGAACTTATGGTTATATCTAGTCAATTAAACTGTAAATTGATGAG